GCTTCCATGAGCAAGAGTTGGGGGATTAGACATGTGTCATAGGAATGTTGTGAAGCTTTTCTGTAAGGCCAGTGTGTTCCCCAGTAATCCGGGGTGATGTAGGACATACTTAAAAGGGAGTAAAGACAGGGTCTCCATCTGTCAGACTGGACATGCCAGCTTGGGTACCAGAATGGGGTGGGAGGCCCTTCTGTACCAGGTGTTAACACCTTGGTTGCCAGCTCTTGTGGAGATCCAGGGAGTCTGGGGGAAGTTAGGGGTGAAGAGAGGGCGCTGGAGGAGCTTTTATCAAGAAAATATTTTAACAACTGATGTAGCAGTAACAGTTCCTATGGACTATCAGCCCTTCCTGTGTTCTCTTGACATCCACTCCAAGTTCTTGAGGCCTAAAATATGTGCTTGGAACTCAAGTCACAGTCTCCCAAGTCTGCCCAGTCCCTCCTTTTTTGGTGGGTTTTTAAGCAAATCAGAAGCACATCTTCTCATTATTTTTCCTTAAGAAATACTGGAATTGGCATGCGACCCAAGAAGAATCCCACTGTCAAACTCCAAAGCGAGTCACAGATTTAGCGGTCGATTCTGTCAAATGTAAACAGGAAAATTGTGTAAACTACTGAAAAGAAAAAAACCTTGCCGAAATCACTGGGTGAAGAGTGGAACACAAAACACTGAGCAGAGGACTCCCCATTTATCAGAGTCATTCAATTAAGCAAAGAAACCCAACAAGAGAACTCCTCAAAGGAAATCGTTTTATAGCACGTAATGAAAAACAAAAGAAAACAAAACTTGTCTCTGACTTTTTTTGGGGGGGGGAAAGGGGCTGTTGAAAAAGATAACTGTGGACTGTGTCCCACTTCCCCCAGATTTGCTGTGCAGAAGTGCGTAAGTGTAAGTGATGTAGAGGTACTTGTTTATTATAGAGCACATTTCAATGCAGTAATCATAAATATTGCTAAGGTTGTGCTCTGTTGAAATATGACCTACATACTCTTGATTGTTTGTGTTACGTGATTTGTCTGACACCCATTACATTCTGGGTAATAGCAGCCATTTGTTGCTCTGCACAGCAGGCTCTTTTGACAAAAGAAAATAGGCAGCAATAAAAAAGCTATAGTCTGAATTACATTCTGCACAGTGCTGCACTGCTGAGAGTTTGTGCAAGTGTGTTAACAATGTTCTGAACTGCCTCTTGTCAGCCTTCAGCCTGTAATGGCCATCTGTCCTCACATAAATCTGTCAAAACCTGCTAAGTTCAAGAGAGAGCATGGAATATACCTGGTACTGTCAACACCAAAATGTACACATTCCCCAGAAAATCAACACATAGGAAAGAATCCGGAGGTTATGGGAGGCATTAGCACTGTTGATTTAGGCTTGTGGGATGAAATTGAGAGTCTGGCGATTAGTGGGAAGATGAGCCAGGGTAGTGGCGTTGAGGCGTTGAGTACTGGCTGCCCTCCGCCCACCGGGGAAGAGATTCTGGGTCGGGGAGATGGGGTGAGAGAAATCCAGTTAGTTCAGTTGTGCAGCCAGAGGTTCCCTGTCACAGCCTCAGCAACTGAAAGTTGGACATTGTGTTGAAAGGAAAAAAAAAAGTGCTTCTTGTACTTCATTTTGCTCTGAGTCTCAACTCAATCTGGAAATAGATTTTCAATTAGGTGCTGGTGGTAGGAAGTTTTGGGGTACTTGAGATTTCTCAGTCTTGCTCTAGGGTATTCTCGGATAAAAGGAGTTTTTGTAAACAGTAAAAAAGTTCAGGGAAAGATCTGAATCAGTTTTCCCTACCCACCTACTCTCAGACCCTAGAATAAGTTCCCTCTACTAAGCGAGTGTTGTTTGTTGTTTTCACCAGACTTGCCGACAGACAGGTGCAGCCCTGATGGTTTCACTCACCGGGTGTACTTGGTTATCTCAGAGTGTTCCTGTAAATTTTAAGCTGATAGGCAAGAAAGTGTACCTACTGCAAATTTTGAACAATTATCTCTTTATTGAAAAGAATGCGGGAGTCCTGAGAGCTGAGTCCCTGAAATGCCAGCATACGGTGGAATATTCAGCACATAGTAGTTGCTCAGCAAATGTCTGTTTAATTGCCACAGGCCATCTAATAAGTGAAAGAAGTAAAAGACTTTGTTTTTCACTCCAAGAAACTACAATCAGAGTGGGTGTCGGCACTTCCAAGAGCAGCTTGAGAACCAGTTATTTAAGCGATAATGAGCTTAGGTTCTAAGGACAAGGGTTTCGAATGTTCAAGACTAAAAAGAATTTCTATATTTAAAATCCCTAGATAGCTGAGCTATTTTTAGAACTAGTCTCTCTTTAATAGTGGCCTAATTTGGTGTTTCTGAAGTTCAGAGTTTCTTTTTATAAGTCTAGAATGTCAGTCAAAATACATATACCTGAGATCAAGGCAAGGGACCTCATAACACGACAGGACAGTGGCTCTCCGTATGTGGTCTGTGAACTTTGTCATTAAAAATATTTGGCCAGCTTCCCAAGTGACCCCTGGGCCACCGAAATGGGAGACTCACAAGTAAAGGAGGATCCAGAAAAATCAAAAGGAGTGAAAAATTTTGCAAAAAACGTGGCCCAAGCAACATTCCACTAAGAGTTTCTAATCTGTTTGGAGAGACAAGATATAATTCACATTCAAAAAGAGATAAGCAGGAAAACATAGCAATATCTGATGAGCATCAGGTGAGTGATCCTGGCAGTAAATTATTGGAAAAGTAAAAATTGCCCTAATTCAGAGTATCAGGAAAAGAGTCATGGAGTTGCATTTGAGGAGGTTGAATGTCATTTTCCCCAACTCAGAGGCTATGTCATTTGGAGTATTTGACTTATTTACTCATTAAAGAGAGGTTATTCATCATTGTTTCTACAAGCATCTTAGCTTCCTGTGAGAAATGTTTGAGAGCTTGTCATTTGCTTGCTGAGAATTAGTATCTTTAAATTTGGTGTAGTGGTCATTGAAGGTAGCGTGTGGTAGAAATCAGTGTGAATGCACGGGGCAGTGCAAAAGGTGAAGGAAACAAGGAGAGAGAAATAAGGGAAAGAAAGAGAAAGAGCCAGAGTTGAGGGGAGGAGGGAGTGAAGGAGGAAGAGGGACAGGCGGAGGGGAAGGGGAGAGGGGAGGGGAGACTGGCCATGTAGGGATTTCTTAGGTTGAGTGGAAGTTACACTTGTCTGTGGACGATGGAGCACAGGATGAGTGGGCTTTGTTGATAGCGATGACTCATCCAGTAATGTCTCTCCTCCCAGCCATCAACCCCCACCGCCGCCCCGTTATCTTCGAGCCAAGAGTTGGGGGTAGGCATACAGTAGGCTGCTAATAAAGGGACGCTTTCCTGAGACTCGGATGTGGCACTAAGGGAGAGCAGTGTCCTCTTCTCTTTGTGTTTGCATGTCCCTGTCATTCTAAACTTTCCTGCGATAGATTTCTAAAAGTCAAAAAAGCTTTGCATTTTTGGACATTTTCTTCCCTTATTTAGGGAGAATTAACTGTGCATAATAAACTTCGCCAAATGCGGGTGCAAAATCTTTCAAGTTAAGGAAAATATTCATTTCTTCTATCTCTTTATTGTAAAGTAGGGGAGAGAGGCAGTGTCTTTGTGTTCATACCAAAATTTCGTGTGGCTTTCTGTGACCTACTTGGTTCTTGATAAATATATATACTTTTTTTTTTCCCAGCGAGGTAAGATTTCTCTGCCTCACCTTGAAATATGCAGTTGCCTTAAGTCTAACCCCAGGCTTGTTAGCGGACTTGAAGTTCTTTTTTTTTTTTGCTGAATAGCATTCACCCATCCTCCTAAATAAAAAGTGTATTGTAAACTAAAATGTTCCCTTGTAAGCATGAAGTTATTTGAACTCTAGCCTGCCCTTCTTCAAAGTTCCCTGACTCTGGAGTCATTCCACGATTCTTCTTCCTCGGCACAAAGGGACAAGAAGGACTTACTTGGGGGTGAAACTGAACAGAGGCAACCAGCCTTCACAGGCTTCCCCATCGTGACTTCTGATGGAATTGTCTGCCCTTCTGTAGAAGGGCAACAACTGCCAGGTTTTGCTTGGTTTTGTTTTTTCCCTTCTTCCTTTAGTTTTTCATTTCTTTAATTAGTTATTTGCGAAAAGCTTGGATTCCTTTTAATCCCTTAGCCTCGTAACCTGCCCCAATGTGCTGCTCCAAATAAAATGGTCCGCTGGCACTGCAGTATTTAGTGTTACTGTTCACTTAGGTTTCTGTTGCAGAACCATATTTTAGACAGAATGTATTAGTTATGCTTACAAGAATGTATTATACCTACATTAGCCACGGTTTACTAAGTTAATGAACTGTGGAGACAAAGAATCATTGCCGTCAGGTTGGAGAGTTGTCTGGTGCCCTGCGCTCGCTTGCTGGATTTTACCAAACTTACTTTGAAGTTGCCCGTGTCATTGCCACCCTGCCCGGCATTTGCAGTCATCCCTCCCTTTTTTTTTTTTCTTTTTTTAAAGTCGCCTCGTTCTTTGGCTGCGTGGGTAGATATCCTTGATTGTACAAAAAGTCCTGACCCACATGCATCTTCCCCAGCGTTCTTTGCAGACAAATGCTACCAAAGCTATTCTGTGATTCCCCTGAGTCCTGCCGCGTTAATTTTCCATAACACAGACTGTAAGATGCCCTTGAAAATCTGAGCTTTGGTGCTGTGGAGGCCGGTGGTGACACATCCGTGTTCTCTGGGAAGCCGGATCTGTTAGCACTGGTGCTTGAAATACAAAATATTGCGGCTTCCAGTGCTGCCTTGCATTGTGGATCCATCTTTTCTTGGTGCCAGAGGCTCCGGGGGACAGAGTCACTTTTTCAGGTCTTGTCATGAATTTAGTTTCCTTCTCTTTTCCCTGAGTTTTAATCATTGTCTGAAACCTTGGAAAAATTAGGAAAACAGATTCTGGAGTTTAATAACATTATCCCTGTCTCTTTTCTCTTTTTCTCTCCCCTTTTTTTTTTTTTTCTGTTCTTATCTCAGGTCTAACTCCACCCACAACTCCTCCTCATAAAGCCAACCAAGATAACCCTTTTAGGGCTTCTCCAAAGCTGAAGCCCTCTTGCAAGACTGTGGTACCTCCGCCATCAAAGAAGCCCCGGTACAGTGAGTCTTCTGGTACCCAAGGCAATAACCCCACCAAGAAAGGGCCGGAGCAGTCGGAGTTGTACGCACAGCTCAGCAAGACCTCAGTGCTCACCAGTGGACACGAGGAAAGGAAGGCCAGGCGGCCCAGTCTGCGGCTGTTTGGTGACCATGACTATTGTCAGTCAATTAATTCCAAAACGGAAATACTTATTAATATATCACAGGAGCTCCAAGACTCTAGACAACTAGAATACAAAGATGCTTCCTCCGACTGGCAGGGGCAGATGTGCCCTTCCACAGATTCAGACCAGTGCTACCTGAGAGAGACTTCGGAGGCGAGCAGGCAGGTCTCTCCCGGCAGCACCAGAAAACAGCTCCAAGACCAGGAAATCCGAGCTGAGCTGAACAAGCATTTCGGCCATCCCAGTCGAGCTGTTTTTGACGACGAAGCAGACAAGACCAGTGAACTGAGGGACAGTGATTTCAGTAATGAACAATTCTCCAAACTACCTATGTTTATAAATTCAGGACTAGCCATGGATGGCCTGTTTGATGACAGCGAAGATGAAAGTGATAAACTGAACTCCCCGTGGGATGGCGCGCAGCCCTATTCGTTGTTCGATGTGTCGCCTTCTTGCTCTTCTTTTAACTCTCCGTGTAGAGATTCCGTGTCACCACCCAAATCCTTATTTTCTCAAAGACCCCAAAGGATGCGCTCTCCTTCAAGGTCCTTTTCTCGACGCAGGTCGTGTTCCCGATCACCATATTCCAGGTCAAGATCAAGGTCCCCAGGCAGTAGATCCTCTTCAAGGTAAACCTTGTCAAAACCCACCCAAAGCCTAAAGAGTCCCCAGGAAGTCAAAAAAAAAATGCTTTCAAAATCCACAGGCAGCCCAGCCCCTTACCACCACATTCTTGGTGCTGCTGGATCTAACAAGATTGTTGTTACACATTCACTCCTCCCTATCTTCTCCTAAATCTGTCATCCTTGAGCACAGTGCCTTGAGCCAGTCAGATCAGAGAGAGCAATTTGTAAGAAACTTGCTCATCTAACTTTTTCCATTACCTGGAGAGCTGCCCCGGGCCAGGGTAGTTGAGGTCCATGCAAGATAAAGCTGGCAGTGTACCAGACTGGCGTTCGGCGTTCACGTCAACGAGAGACGCTGGAAGAGAACACATCACTCCCAGACCTCTAAGCTGACTAGGTGATCGCTAAGCGTCACTGGGAAATCTCCCTAGTAGCTGGGAAGCCAAAGCCGGCTTCTTTAACACGGAGTTCCAGGGGATGTTCCGTCGTGCCCTTAAACTGGGGTTAACCGGCAGTGGCAAATGCCTTTTTTTGTTTCCCCCGCCCTCCCAGATCTGGCTACTACTATGAGGCAGGACACTGCAGACACCCAACGCACCGAAATTCTCCGCTGTGCGCAAGGTCACGTTCAAGATCGCCCTGCAGCCGGCGGCCCAGGTAATGGTGCCTCCCGCTCCGCCCCTCCCCTCCTCATGGATGACCAGATGTTTTCTGAAACCCCGCCCCCTCCCCAGTTTGTGATAAGTTTTGCTCGTGCAAATGGAGGTGGTTGACTTAATGATGAAGTTATGTTTCTCAGGTATGACAGCTACGAGGAGTATCAGCACGAGAGGCTGAAGAGGGAAGAATACCGCAAAGAGTATGAGAAACGGGAGTCTGAAAGGGCCAAACAAAGGGAGAGGCAGAGGCAGAAGGCAATTGTAAGCAGCTTGGAGCTAACTTTCATTTTACAGGAGGGTTTCTTTCTTTTTTTTTTTTTTCTTCTTTCTTTTCTTTTTCTTTTTCCTTCTGTCTTTTTTGGGGGGTAGATTAGAAACTAAAATAAAGACTCTATTAGAATATGCCATATTTGGCCTTTTGGCTTTAAAGCGTCAGTGAGTCCTCAATCCCTCTTAACGCAGATTATTGGAAAACAAAATGTTAGGTCAGTGTATTTCTCATTCATACTACTTATTTCTTATTCATCTTGAAGCTCATTGCTGTTTTTTGACTTTTGTTTCTAAAAATGGTGGGAGGGGAGATTTATTCAGTCAGATAACTGGTCCCATGGGGCCAGAGGATGAGTTTTTCTTAATATTCTCTGCTGATTTTTTTCTCTGAGTAGAAAATGAGTAGATATCCCTGTTTGGTTTCAGTTTTTGTCTTTCTGGCAGGCATAAAGATTGGATTGTCCATGAGGAGACTGGGTTCAAGTTAGATTTAAAGGAGGCAGTAGAGAAAGATTTGCTAAGAATGTCATCATTTCTTCCTTGTGCTGGTTCAACCCAGCATCCACATTTCTTATGAATCACTTTTAAGTAACCTATTATGGAATTTCAGCACCACTTACCGCAGGGTATTGCATTAACTTGACATATCAAGAGGACTGACCATTTAGGGCTCCAGGTTAGGTGACTCTAGTTTATTCTCTGTTGGTCAGACCTTAGAAGATAAAAATGAGACCCTCCAAATGTTAGCCCAGTACTTGTCCAAGGCAAAGATTCCTAATTAATTAGAGAATTCTTTCCAACTGTGCCCCCAGAGAGCCTTAAGGACTTTCCCAATATGGTGCTCCGGGGAGCCATGACCAATCCATCAGAAATGGCACTGTTTTTGTACATTGCAGCTGCTGTCTGTCTGTGCTAGCTGTTCAGAGTCATTTGAGTGAAGATAGCCTTTCATGCATCTTGCCTATAAGCTAACCAGGGCTTAGGGAAATGATTTTTAACTCTAAAGTTTAGATTTCCATGGTACCTTTAAGACAAACCATGACCATCAACAAAATCTTGAAAAACCTACATAAACGAGCTGACTAATGGCGTCAAAATCAAGCATTGGCAACACTTATCAGCTGGAGGAAAAAGGTTAACTGAGAGGCTTGGTAACTCAGGCACTCAAGGAGAAGGAAGGGAGGAGTAATTGAATACTTAGGCTAAAGGTCTAGGTTTTGCTGCTGTTTAACTTTGAATCTATGTAAGACCGAACCAAAGGCCTTGTGCAAATTATAACACTTTTCCTCATTTTTCTCAACTTTCAAATGAGCTGTGATATTAAGGTCTGCCAGAGTATCATTAGTTAACACTTAAAAAGACTAATGAAATTGAAAATTCAATTTTTCTAATGTTGCTGTTTTTAATTAATAGCCTATTCAGTAATTACAATAACTCA